CCCCAAAACCCCAAAACCCCAAAACCCCAAAACCCCAAAACCCCAAAACCCCTAGCCTTCTGATACCTATTGAAATTTGAATATAGAGCTCTAGATGCTGAATTTTAGCCGATGGACCAAATCCCTGTATTAGCCAACAATTTGGCATACAAGGAATTTTAGGATCAAGCCAAGTTGACATTCAGCAATCAGGGTTCTAGTTGGTCAACCTAAATGCCGATCCAAGCTTAGGTAGATAATGGCTAGGAGATATCAGGCTCTAGGTTACCAAAACTATCTTTACTCAGTATTATGAATAATGATTTCCTTTATGTCTCGGAAGTTGTGAAACAGAACTGCTACCTGCCAAAGGCTTTAACTTTGCTTTTGAAACGCTACTTTTTAGTATGTTTTGGTGAGCATCGTCCGAGAGAGGCTTCTTATCCGCCTTCAAATGCTCCCGAAGAGTCTCCTTATCCATCCGATTGAGATCTATCGGCTCGTTAAGAGTACTGAACGGGGAGATCATGGGTACCCCATGTTGTAAGGCATGTAACTTTCTTGGCTTGATGACTTTGTTATCCTTCCCATTAATCAAATTCTCATTCGCTTCAAACTCACTCTGAAGATTTGGTGGTTCAAACGGTCTGATTCCTAGATCAGGTTTAGGCTTTGGTTTAGCCTTTTTCATTTTATTAAATTTTTGGTAAATTCTTTCAGTGTCGTACTTATTCTCCTCCAGCTGTTTCATGGAATGAAGGTTTGGTTGTGACCCACTCACAGCAATGCTTGATCTCTTCATTGGCTTGTTTGAGTTTATAGTATTGGTAGAGTTCCTGCTAGAGCCTTCAGCGCTTGACTTCATCCCAAAAGCTACTTCTCTGTTATCCTTTTCGTTCTCGACCAAATCCATTGCTTTATTTCTGTTGAGTTTTGGGAAGGCTACTTCTTTAGCTTGGAGGTAGAATCAGGGGATGTCCCATTCTTGTTTCTCTTCGTCAAAGCTAGATCTGTGTCTAAACTTTTTCAATTTCATGATCCTTTAGGATCATCTTGAGCATTCCTTTCATCAGCATGAGTTCGTGTTGCTGGTCTCTGACGGTGTTAACCAGGTCAGCGTGGTCGTTCTGATGCTCTTCCTCTAAGTCTTTGATCTCTTGGAGAGCGCCTTTGTAGCGGATCCTGAGCTCGTTCAGGATCTTGCTATTCTCCTCGAATTGTTCCTGTTGGCTCTTGTATTGTTTCTCATAGAATAGCTTTTCTTCCTCTTCTTTGAGTTTCTGCTCCATGAGGATCTGCTGCTGTTCCTTCTGCTTTTTTAAAGCGAGTTGGGCTTTGCGTAACTTTTTGGCTTTATTCCGTTCTTTGTCGTCCAAGCCGTGGTCTCGCTGGACGAGCTTTTTCTCCATTTCTTCTACAAGCTTTTCAAGTTTTTCCTTCTGTGTATCAGCTATGTCAGATGGGTCACCTTCTGGCGACTTGATTCCGGTGTTTTCTTCGATTTCTAGAAGGTTATTTAGGAAAAAGTACCTGTGATTCGATCTTGGAGGGATTTCTGATGTCCTTCAGCATCTATTTTGGTCTCCTTGACCTCGTCATTTTCATCGATAATCATCACTTTCTTGCCCTTCTTTTCTATCTTTTCTACTAAGCTAGAGATTGAGTCTTCAAACATGATCTCATCTGAGAGCTGGTTCGAGGCTTTCTTCACAACCGTGGGGTCGATACCTCTGCCTTGGGAGAGCTGTTTGAGCATGTCTTTGAGTTGCTTGATTTCCTCCTCGTATTCTCTGAGCAGGGCATCCTTGGGGTCTTCGTTAATGATTGGTTTATTTTTAATACTTTTAGCCCTAGATGCATACCTTAGTGTGCTTAAAGTTTCGTCGTAATTGTCGTCAGCTGGTGAAAGAGCAGCTATCATGACAGTTTTGGTATTCCCTCCCAAGGAATCTTGGAGAAGTCTTGTCAGTTTAGAGTCTCTGTACGGGATATGTTTAGCCTTGCCGTCCACCAAAGCACTGATCACATTTCCTAAGGCCTATAAGCTTAGTTGAAATTCTTAGTACGGAAAGGGACAAGTTGATCTTCTGGGCTTCCTTTAGCCTGTCACCGGTTGCGTGGGTCTTGCTCTGCCTTTCAGATCCCTATTTTGTTAGAAATATTTATTTATACAGCTAAATCTACAAGATGGAGTTTGCCAGCTTTGATCTTTTGATCTCCCTAGAAATTATAGAATTTTCATACGTCTGCTTCCTCCATTTGTTCGATGTAGATAGTGAAAATAGAGTGACTTCGGGAAGAATCTTTATTCATTGCTGTTTCACCTGTTTTCCTGCGCCCATTTCTAAAAGTTGAAGGAGCTGGCTTACCCTCGGAGCATGCATGCGTTGACTTCCGAAGTTGACTTTACGATGACACCGGTTAATCCTTGAACGAAGATTCCTTTGTCGGGGTCTTCTTTGACATCAAGTTTACTCTTTTTGTCGCTTAATAAATCTAGAATACTTTCATTGTAGATTTCAAGATAAGAGCAGCGGACGAGATACTTAACTCCTTCCTTTGCTTCATCTATTCATCCGAAAATTTGTACGTAAGCTCGAGGGATGATGCCTTTGAGCTCTTCGTCGTCCTGGACACCGAGCATGGTATGGGTTTTACCTCATCCTGTCTGTCCGTAGGCGAAAATAGTTCCATTGTAGCCTTCGAGAACGGACTCTACCAAAGGGAAGGCAGTCTCGTTGTAAATGTCACTCTGCTTAGAGTCCCCATCATACACAGAGTCATAAGTGAACCTCTTCGGAACTTCTTTACTGTTAGGCTTGTAGAGCTGAACAGAATTCGTATTGGAATCAATCTCAACTGAACTTTTGCAACCTGTTTGTGGTAAAGTTAGACAACACCGAACATTGTATTGAATATTAAGGGTGGAGAAGACGTACCTAGTGAGGTCTCTCTGCCATTAAATGGTCTGCATCTTACCATGACCTTCACGCATTCTGCATTTTTTGGCATTTTAAGAAAAATAATTTCAACATATATTTTGTGGAAGGGGTTTTGGGGTTTTGGGGTTTTGGGGTTTTGGGG